CCCTCACCACTGACTCCCGCCACCACTCTCTTTCGCTGTATTTCACATTCTTTCGTTATTACAACATTTTAACATCCTCTCTTACCTTCTAATCACACCTCTAACATCTTCGACCCACCGGACCTCCTCCACTCACCCCTCCACCTCCCCCCGCCATCCCTCTTTTTCGTCGTAATTCACTCTTTTTCGTTATTACAACTTATTAACATTCTCTCTCACCTTTCACTCGCAACACCACCATCTTCTGCCCACCGGACATCTTCCCTCCGCCCCTTCCCCTGACACCACCACCCACCCACGCCGCTCCTCTCTTTCGCCGTATTTTCACTTTTTTCGTTATTACAACTTTTGACATCCTCTCTCACCTACCACTCACCATGGTATAAAGACAAGGGTATGCTCACGCGCATGATAGTTCCAGACAACCAATCAGAAAAGTCACTCAGTATACGTCACATTAAGCGGCAAATTCAAAATGCATTTGCTTAGTACTTCTACATACAGTATTGAATTACAGTATTTTCTAATAAGATTAACTTTAGAAACGTGATTTCTCGTCGCTAAATTCAAATAATTTATTCTAATACGTATCACGAATAATTTTAAAAAATAAAAAAGAATTATCTTCCATTATATAAATTGTGAAAAAATTTATATAAAGGAAGGTGATTTTGCACTTTTAGTAACAATTAATACTTTTCTTGAAAAGCAATTCACATTATTTACTGTAGAAATACGTAATTAGCAAAAAATTTTCATTGTGCTCTCTTTACAAAAAAATATATACATATAATGATCATTTAAGATTCTTTTGTAACTTATTTTTGAGGAATGGACGATGAAATGAATAAAAAAATAATTGCAGATATACGTGTATATATAATAACTAATATGTAATATAATAAATAACGTGTATATATAATAAGTAATGACTATTTATTAAGAAATTTTGATAATTTCTTTTTATTACTCCTTTTTCGATTTACAGCAGCGATTCCCCGGTTTATTTGACGTACTCGTAGATAAGTTCGCGTTCTTACCAAACATAGGATGACTTCTTTAGAAATTTGGAGGGGCTGTATTAATGTGTGTACTTTTTGCGTCAATGTATTAAATATAAATTGCTCTTTACGCAATATTTTTAGTCCATGGTAGTCATTAAATTCCTTGTTCATGATGCGTGCGGTTTGTAGTAATTCTTCTGATGGATACAGGCAATTTCCACGTGAAATAACATGTAACCAATCTATGTCACTTGCAACTGGCAAGAGGCATGTTTTAGTACCTAGATGTGGATACTTGTGTTTAAATCTGTAGGCTACGTATCCAGCGATGTATTTTAAACCTTCATCTGTGATGATATCAATAATATTTAGATTTTCTAATGATAATAACATTTCTTCTTCCTCAATGGATATATTATAATTACTTAAATCGCAGAGAGGATAGTCATCGACATTACCATTGGCATCTTCAGTACTTGCGAATAACTCTTCGGTAAAAATCGTTTCTTCTTTTTCTATGATATATGGCTCCAGCATACTGCTAATTAAAGAATTGTCATTGGTAAGTGGAGATGAAAGACAAGCTGTATTTGGCTCACTTGCAATGATGTTGGAACTTCCACAGAAAAGATTGGCTGAGTGCTTTCCTACGATGTATCTCTTCAATCTGTATTTGAAATCAAGTGCCGTCGGATGATCGTAGGCACCCCCAGTAGCTCTTATAAAGGAAAAGAAATGTTCCAGCAAATCTTGATTTAAACGACAGGTAATAATGTATTTTATTTCCAACTGTTCATCAGAATACGTTTTCCTCAAATAAATGAACAGCTCTTCTAGAGATACATTATTTACAATTATTCCTTTTTGGAATAAAAGCAATGAACGATGTCGTCCAATCTGGATCTTCTGTATTATATCGGTCATCTAGTGTAAAACTGCCGTTTGTTTATCTAAATTTATGCCGTACGCATTTTTACCTTCATGCTTGCCGTACATATTCGACGAATTGAAAATGTCGAACCAATCGTTGATTAAATGAAAGAGACATGCTGTTTCTTGCCAATTTGTATCTCCCAGATATCCTTTCTGTCCACTCCATTGAATTGCAACAGCCGTTTTGTTGGACAATAATTGTGCAGCGGGAAGAACCTTTTGTCGCTCCGATCCCTTCACATTCAAATGATATTGCGATATGTTGAAGGCAATTTTAAGATCGTCAGCATTAATCGATAAGAGTTTCTCAATGCACTTCTTATGTATCAGCCGTTCGTTGATTTTGAATCCATTATCGAGGAAATGATTTCTTATAAGTTTAAGTAAATGCGGTGTGTCTGCAAATACAAAAACTCTTAAGGCTGCATTCGAAGGGTGCTCGAAAAAAGACTTGTTAGGAGGGACACCGATTTCCAATTCATGCCATAAAGTCATATTACCAGGACCCATATCACTTGTCACTGCAACAACTGTATAGTCTATAGCATACAAACATGCAATTATATCATAGAGAATACTTTTGGTCATTGATTGGTCATAGTAATAACAAACTGGTTGTTTCCAGTTTGAAAACAAACTTCTAACCATAACGCATTGGCAAGTCTTATGCGGTCCTACAACTTGTTGCGTCTTTCTTTCGATAGCTATTCTATTATTCAAATACATTTCATCAAATGTTAATGCCACTAGTTTTTCATTCATTTGCATGCACTGCAACACAGGTTTCAATATACCTTCATCTATACAAATATTGCCTGCCCACCTTCGGAGTGTTGAAAGTCCAGGAAGTGGTAACTTGATTACATTCCGTAAATAGCGGTATGCCTTAGGGCTAACGCATCGTAAAGATATTGCGCTCGCAATATCTTCTGAAGATCATACGACCCGCTTTTTCTCTGAATGTAGAATCATTTGGATTTGCCCTGGCGTAAAGATTCGGCGAAGATTGTTGAACGCAGATTCTTTTAACTGATACCCCTTCTGTGACGGGAAATTAATTGTCTTCAACTTTTTCTCGTTGTTGAGTTCGACAATAGTCTTCTGCATATCTACTAACTGCTGTTGCAGATTCTTTCTGGAAGTATATTGTGAAGTAAATTTAAGTAACAACATTCCTAATTACGTCGAAATTTACAGATCATAAAACCTAAGACTCAAATATTTCATTGTTATTATAATAAATAATAAACATTTATAATATACATTATCACAAGATAGTCCATTGAAGTATCAGACTTAGATGGTATTGATACGATAGTATTCTCCGATACACCTTTCGAGATCGCCACTGATGATTCTGTATCAACAGTTTGCACCAATAATGTCTTTGAAGTTGCCTTTAATTCTACAGGAACAATATCCTCCGGTGTTGCTGCAGAAGTTAACTTGGATGCATCATCGATATGAATTGACGGTATTGACACATCCAATCTTTCTGTCACTTGTAGTTCCTCTAATAAATGCAATGTAGGGATTGCATCCAACTTTAACTTTCGTAAACGTACAGGAGAATAATTCAAAGCTATCTGCTGTGCAGGCTTCTCATAACACCATCTCTCAAAATGTTTAGAACATATTCTTCCTACAAAATATTTATATTGACACTGATTGTAATTGTTTATAATTTTGGTTGATTTTTTCAGTAATACATTTTAATTCGCCGTTTTAAAAAAAGAACTCAGCATAAATATTAAAGTATAAACAAAACTCTCAATGTCGAAACAATAGAGGATAATAATAAGGGCAACTCTGAGAGTCAACGAAACTTACAATTTAAATTTTCCTGTATATAAAAAATTTCGAATTTAATTAAAAAAAATTTTTAATAAAGAATTTAAAATCTAGATTTGTTTATACGAATATTTATACGAATTTACATATAATAAAAAATTCTAAGAAAAAGTGTATTCTTTTACTTCTGAAAGCGATTTAATTCATGTAAAAATTCTGACAAATTTTCACCAGGAGTTTCGTGATATTTTTGTTTGATTGTAAAAAGTTAACCTAAAACCAGATTAGCTATTTACATTTACACTATCAATTTGTTTATGCGTTAATATGCAATATTTCAACCTTATCATGCGTTAAATTTACATTTTCCTCGCACACTTCGATCCACTTTGCAGCAATTTCAGGGTCTTTAGGAAACCTGAAATATTTTATTTCCTCTCCTTTCATTTTTACCGTTTTTCGATAATAATTATGGCAGACTTTTATTGCACAAACAGCCATTATTTTTAATAATAAACTCTTGCTTACTTTATCGAACTTTACCGCTTTAACGAATGTCATAAATACGCGGCAGCCCATATTTCATTGGCACTCAGAGTCCGAAAGCTTTCGAAAGCATCCGAAAGTAGCCGAATGTGACGTATACTGAGTGATGCGCAAAGGCTTTCTAAATTCGTCCACCGGATGAGCATACCCTTGTCTTTATACCATGCCATTCACTACTTTACCATCTTCGACCCACCGGACCTCCTCCACTCGCCTCTCCATATACATATTTGAAATACATGTTTTAAATAAAATTATATTAAAAACTTCCGAATGCTAACTGGTATGATATTTAAACCATTCAACTGTTATGAGCAGGGTTGGGAAATTTAGCGCTGCAAGAGGTTTTCTACATTTCCTACGTATAAAATGTATAATACGTATAAAACATGTATTAAACCCATTCCTCATAAAATCTAGGTTATAGCACAGCAGTCACAGCACTGTATTGATTTCTGATTTCTGAATACGGGTCTACGTCTGTAAGCATCAATTATATGCGTAGTGCTGGTCTGCTAGTGCAATTAGACTTAAGTTTTAATAAGGTTAAGTGCCGTAAACGCTAAATAAGTATCATTTATTAAAAATATATATAAAATAATGTAAGTAAAATAAGTTAATTTCATAACTAAATTAAACTATAACCTATCCAAATTAATTACTATTTACTACTATTACTAGGTATTAACAACTTTTTTTCTATTTTTCTATAGATTTGGAAATGAAATGAGCACAGATAAAATAAAACGTTCTCACCCTCATTCACATGACATCATTGATTTGGCGTTAGCAAAATTTTTTTTTGGCTGCAATATATCTATGAACGTTATTGAATCCGAATTATTTAGAGAGTTTATAAAACTCTTAAATCCTTATTACAAAGTCCCATCAAGAAAAAAACTTTCACATCAATTGTTAGACAAGGTCCACAATGAAATAATATCTAAAGACGTAAAGCAACATGAAACAATGGGTGTATTGTTAATCGATGGTTGGAAGAATTCTGCTGCCAACTCCAAACTAATTGTCTCTACAATCCATACAGTAATGGATAAAAGTGTATACCTCAATTCGTGGGACTTAACTGGCATAAGAGAAACAGGAGAAGTATTAATAAAAATTGTGAATGAAGCTACGGAGATTGCTAAGAATAAATTTAATATCCGTATTTATGCCATCGTATCAGACAATGCTTCTGCAATGATATTAATGGGTAATTCAGTTGATTTATGGCATGTGACTTGTGCAAGCCATAGTGGTAATTTATTAGCAAAGTCCTTGGTAAATTCAAAATACGCTGAATCTGTAAATCGATTATTAAGAGAATTTAAGCAGCCAGGTCCAGAAAAAGAAATCATAGAACGTGGAGGACAAAAAATTATTCTTGCTTGCGAAACTCGATGGTGCAGCTACAGGGATGCATTTCGTTGTTGCCTAAAAAATTTGTCAATAATGCGTCAAATAATAAAAGATAAGACAATTACTATTAAGACTGAATGTTCCAAAATATTATTTAGCGAAGACTTTGAAACAACACTTCAAGATTACATATTGATTTTTGATCCTGTATGCACACTTATTAATAAATGTCAGCAATCTAATACCAATATTGCAGATGCTTGCGAAGAATGGTTTAAATTAATTATACCGACAGCTAATGATAATTACGAGAAAATAATAGAAGAGAGACTGAAAAAAGCTTTAAGGCCATCAATTTTAACTGCCAATTTTTTACACCCTACATATAAAGGTAAAAAATTTATGCATATAGAAAAGTATCGATGTGAAGTCTATAACTTCCTTAGTAAAGAGTTGAATGTAAAAAATCTATGTGATCACCTTGGCATACAAGCTTTTCTGCATGGCACAGATATATTCAAGATCTTGGATTCTAAAAATCTTACGTTTCCTCATACGTACTGGTTTATGGCTAGTAAAAAATATCCTGATCTCGCAGAATTAGCTGATAAATTAATGAAGATTCCAGCCTCTTCAGCTCAAATTGAGCGTTTATTTTCGCAATGGTCTTTTGTTCATTCCGATATACGAAATCGATTAACCACTGAGCGATCCCAAAAATTGATAGAAATATATTATTCATTAAAAATGTCGAATAGATGCGATAAATACATTGATGATAATGTTGATATTACTTATGATGACTAAATATAAATAATTAAGGTATCTATGTTTTTATAAAATGAAAACAAATATTTAATAAAATATACCATTATTAAAATGAGTGTACACAAAAATCATTACATCATTAAATAATTGTCATGTTTTGATAATAAACTTGATACTTTGTAAATAAAAAATATGCGCTTTTAATTTTTATGAGTTTATTTAATAAATCAAAGGTTTTTTCTTACAAAAGTAACATTAAAAACTAGTAAGATTAAAAACTAGTAAGAATACAAATATATATAGTAGATATAAACTAATTCAGACTAGTTTTATAATCACAATTTTCTTAAACATAAAATATTACAACATAAAATAAATGTATTTTATCAGTACAAAACAATAACGATAAATAAAAATATTTTCTAAACTGTGTTTTTTAATATTTATCCGTTACGTTTTTATCTTGAAGTTTTAATCTATAGTAAAGTTCAATGGTTTTAGTACTGATGGGAGAAGTATTATCGCAACGAACGGCCTGAAATTTTATTTGGATAACTGAAGCAGGTATTAATGTTAATTTTTTAGCAAAATTTGCTAAACTTGGATACTTTTTACTTGCAAAATTCCAATATTTTTCAGGGTCATTAATTTTACGTACTTCAATTTTTTCAAAAAATCCCTTTTTTTGTGAGTATTCGTAAAAATCATCTAATTCTTGATTATTCAAGACTATTAACAAATATTCAAGAATCTCTACATTACGTTCCGGATTATTTTCAAATGTGAGTCCTCTGTAAGCTGGATGCAAACAATTCGCTACTATTGATATCGGTGATAAAATAGCACGTATTTCTTTATTAATTTCAGCCATACTATTGTCTCCCGTAATTCTTGATTCTATTTGTAACCATTGTTCAATGATATCACACATAGTTGTACATGGATTTTGACATTTAGAAACAATTGAACAAAAATGTTCACACCAGAAAATAATTTTTTCCAAATCTTGTTCAAAAGAAGAGGAGGATGTAGCATCAAGCAAAATTATAACAACATCGTTTGGTATATGAAATACATGTTCAGTAACAATTTGTTTGAAGATATGACTATTTTTCAAGCAGTTAATAAACATATCTTTAATTGAAATTATAGATGCCTCGTTATCTACTACTTCAAATTCAACTCCGCCACGATTTATGATCTCCTCTTTTAATCGAGGAGCTTGAAAACCATTTAATACGCTTTGAACTTTCGAGATAAATGGAATACTTCTGAATAAATTGACTATTTTTGTAACAAATGTTGTCTGACATTTAAAGAACCAAGGCTCATTAGAATAATTTGCAGACATACATAGATCATCACTTGCAATAATTGCGTAAATATCCATTTTATATTTTTTCTTAGATATTTGTATTGCATCCTGAACAATTTCGGTCATATCATTTACATTAATCGGAACTGACCAAATTTTAAGAAATACATTTTCTTCAGTTTTTCTGAATTGGACAATTCCAACAATGTGTTTTAAATTAACATTTTCGTTTATTATGCTAGATGAAATCATTAATATTCCTTCTACCTGTTCACACATTGAAAGATTTGTCATTAATTGGTCATACACAGAATTTAAGAGAGTGTTATTAATTGTACTAATAGATGGACATTCATAAGCTGGTCTCATTAACTTTATCAAATCTTTGAAATGAGTAGAATTCAAAACATCGAACGGAATATTACATCCGCATAAAAATTTGGTAAGTTGACTGTCAATAGCTGCCTTTTCTGCACAAGAAATCTTATCAATAAATACGTCAATTTCTTTTCTTTTTTTGCTGGACGAAGCTTTCTGATTTTTACCGTTGTTGTCAATGGGCATCAGAACTGATTGGTTGGGTAGCTGAATGATATTTGACGATGAAGGAGCTAAAATATCTACATTTTCTTCGTTTGCTATATTTAACACAACCTAAGAAATGATACAAATACATATTATTGAAAAATACTTTACTTATTAATATTTATTAATAGTTTCAGTACATACAATATCGTCAATATCAGAATATGCAGGTATGTTTGGATTGCTCTCATCGAGACTGACCTCTTCAAATTCTTCAGTTAGCGGTTCTTGACAATAATTTCTATAACAGAAAATTAAAGACAAAATTACAAATACAACTGACCAACGAAAAAGTTGAATAAGTTTTATTATTCGTTGTATTTTACTTACCTGTGGCTTCTTAATCTGCTTTCAGCAGTATGACGAATTGTTTTTTTGCAGATCATACAAAAAGCAAAAAGTTTTTTGTCTTCATAAATTTTTTTAAATTTTCCTTTTTCCCAGTATTTATGTAGCGGTCTACCTCCTCGATTCATGATTGCTCACTTGCTTAGTACTTATTTGCTTATGGTTTTATTTTGTAGATTTGGAATATGTATAATCAGTTAATCACTAATCAAGTAATCAGTATAATATAGTTTGAGGTTACGTTACATTAAATAATGGGTCCGTTTTTCGTTCCTGCACTGTCTGAACTAGTCCACACGGTGCAATAAGTTGAAGTGAAACGCACTAACTCGTGTGAGTCGTGTGCACTAGTTCAGACAGTGCAGGAACAAAAAACAGACGCAATAATATATTCGTCGAATCATACAATCATTATAGATTGTCATAGTCATAGACTAAACAACTTGATTGTTGGCATTATTGCTGGCTCATTAATCATTATTGCACATGTGCAATAGGTCTGCTTACAAATTTTCACTTTTCCTAGTTCATTTTGTGAAGCACCATTTTACTACATGGCTGAAACCCACAATGTATTATACATAGTTTCATCCATGTATGAAATCACGTATAATACGTTGAGTTTGATACATGCCCAACCCTGATTTTGACCGTGCAGTGGTGCCACCTAGCAATTAAGGGGTAACGCTACTCTAGAATTTTCAAAATAATCAAAAAATTTTTTTTTGTTTAAATGATGCCTTAGAGTCTTAAAAATAATGTACACTTGGTCTCGTAATGCGATAAAATTTTTAAGTACTTATTTCGAAACCGAAACTGCCTTCGCTCGATTAATAAGAAAAGATTCGTGGTACTCGTGGCAGAAGGCAAAAGAGGCCAGGGTATTGTCAAAATCGGTCAGAAAAGACACAGAGTAGGAGAATTTGGAAGGTGAAATGTATGGTGCAGGCATTGCCGACTAGAGGTATATACAAAACATTTATACTATTTTAGTACTTAAAACTTTAAACGCGTTTTTCTCGAAACAATGTTTTTCAAGTTGGCCGGAAACATAACTCGAACAATTTTTGAACGATTCAATTCAAATTTTAACAGTAGCTTTGTAATTAGATTTTACACAGAAGTACGTAGGAGTTTTTTGATATCTTGTCAACTTTTTTTGTTATAAACAATTTACGATGAAATTTTTTTACTGAAAAATGAATTTTTTCTTCAAATAAGCATTATTTTTTCAAAATTCAATATTTTCAAAATCCCCTACGTACTTCTGTAGCCAATTATATATAGTTTACAAAAAATTTTGGTTTTTTGTTCCGGATTGAAAATTGTGGGAGAAACTTTTCCGGCCGTGAAGTCCTTTCAGCGAGAGGTGGTCTCGAGTTTCGTATTATGTAGCCGCCATTTTGTTTAAAAATGTTAATTAAAAAATTTTTTTATTCGCTTCAGAACATGTATAATAAACTCCTATAAACAGATTTTCCATTTCCTTTATTGTATCTTCGTAAAAAATTATCAAAGACATGTCTTTTTTTCGAGCTCTAGAGTGGCGTTACCCCTTAATGTCCTCAAATTATGCGTTGACTGTAGTGTATTTAATAGTGTCCTCAAACTATGCTATAGCTGTATGAATGTCCCCAAACTATGCAATAGCTGTATGAATGTCTCCATACTATGCAATAGCTGTATGAATATTTCCAAACTATGCAATAGCTGTATGAATGTCCCCAAACTATGCAATACCTGTATGAATGTCTCCAAACTATGCAATAGCTGTATGAATGTCCCCAAACTATACAATTGCTTGCCATCTGACAAGTCAGGACAAGTCGACACAAGTTT